CGCCTGACGCCCGCTGCGGGGACGAGCGCGTGCCCGTGCCCAGGGCAACCCCGGCCGTCCCGGAACCGCGTTAGAGCTTATACGGGAATCTGCGGGGATGGGTATTGCTCTGAGGGGCAGGAAGAAGCTCGTTTAACCGAAATACTTACCAGTGTAATTTTCTGACGTTTTAAGACCTTGTATTTCTTCTCTAGAAAATCCCATTCTTCTGTGATTGTCTTAGTGCAGATTGAGGTTGTGTGCCTGGGCAGAGAACAGAATTGCGGGATGCTCCTATTTGCTGGAGGCTGCATTGTATATAACATGCAATAACCTCAAGTTTTCGTGATCTGACCCGAGCAAAACCTAGACACTGCAGCAGAAGTGCTGCTAATCCTGGGGCCAGAGGGTGTCTGTAAAGGGGACAGAGGTGCTTTTCCTCCTCTGCCTCTAAGGCTGGGTGGTTTGTGTTGCGCAGGATCCCAGAGTCCTGGACAGCATGCTTCCCTACCTGACGGCCTACTATGGCAACCCCCACTCCCGGACCCATGCCTACGGCTGGGAGAGCGAGGCCGCCATGGAGAGGGCGAGGCGGGTGAGTCTTCGGCTTTCCGCAGTCATAGTGGTTTTCCTGCTGGCGAGGAAATTCAGTGTTGAAAGAAAATCAAAAGGAATGATAAAACTGTTGTGCTTAGTTCTTTGTGGGCTGGATTTAGCAGCTTCCTCTTTGCCTAGCTGTACTTTAGCAGATTTATTGCAAGAAAAAATAGTGAGACTAGAGCAACTGAAATGGCAGAAAACAACACTTTAGGCAAAGATGCCTCAGGATTTTTGGTTTCCTGAGGTCACAAGCATGCTGCTGCAATAATTGGGCTAACTTCATATTTTATCATTCTCCTAATCTAAGGTGTGAGTCTTTGTCTTTTTTTTTTTTTTTTTTGAAGTAATATGTACTGGGTTTTTGTCTACTTAATTTTTATGTTCTTTTATTAGGCTAATGCTTAATACCACTACTGATAACGACTACGAATTCCTTATCTATTTTGTGTTAATACAGATATTTAGACTATTGTACGTGTGGCATAACTTTGTTAGACGCTAGCTGTAATCCTTTTGAGGCTCAAGGGGTTATTCTTGAAAACATTTTGCATGTGTTTTGCTATGGTGAATTCATTGTATTTTATCTTAAGACATCAAATTTGTATTTCTTTTTAAACAGCAAGTTGCAGATTTAATAGGAGCTGATTCGAGGGAAATTATATTTACCAGTGGTGCAACAGAATCTAATAATATGGCAATTAAGGTAAAAGTTTTACACTGGTTGTAATTCATTACGTTAAAATTATGCTCTTAAGAACTGTATGCATCTTTCATCAGTTTAAATGTTAATATGTTAGCCTAGTTAATATTTGCATTCCTGAATTTATTCCTTGTGGTATTCTGCTGCATACATGGAGGAAATACTGGGACGTTCTGGTGCTTAGGACATAGTTTTGAGGACAGAGTGTAATACTCGATGTTTTCTTACATGTGCCAAATACAGTTCTTCTGCTTATGTAACTAAAGTCTTTATCAAGAAATACAGTGAGCTTATATCAGTTAACATTTTCACAGGCTTTTTGAAAAGTGAGATGCTTTGAAAAATGAGTGCTGATGGAAATACGTCATGTGAATTATATGACAGTACGTTTTAGATTCATGACTTTGGGGGCAAAAGGGAAGATCCAGATGAGTTATATCTAAATAGTAATTTCTTGTTTCTGATCATTTTCTGTAAAGTTTGTTTTCTTCAGTGGTCTAATGACAAATTTCTTGTTCATGGATTGTGCCTGACAGGGTGTTGCAAGGTTCTATAAGTCCAGAAAAAAGCATATCATTACTACGCAAACAGAGCACAAGTGCGTGTTGGATTCTTGCCGTTCCTTGGAGACAGAAGGTTTTCGGGTCACGTATCTACCTGTTAAAAAAAACGGGCTTATAGATTTGAAGGTAGGTTGTTTTCTGACAGAAAGTGAAAACTGAAGGGGTTTTTGCTTCTAATTGATGCTCAAGAGGACCTTGTGTCTTTATCATCAAGAGGATGATAAAGAGGAAGGATGGTAAATATCACAAGGTGGAATGAGAGTTGCAGTCAAATCTCTGTCACAGTTGAAGAAGGATTTTCTGTTCTGTCTGGTGGTCTAGACTTTTTCTGAACCAAAACATCCATCTCTGATCCCACCATTCACCTGCTGTCATTCATACTCACGCAGGAGGAGCTGTGCCATACCGTATAGAGAGCCCAGTACATGACTAGGATGGAGCTGGCTTTGATACAGGAGTTAAGGGGCTGGTGGCTAAAATTTGCTAGCAAATTAAAGGCGTGCTCAGGAATCTTTTGCTTCTGGTTTTAGTCACAACTCTTTTCCCTTTGAATATTTCACCAGGAGTTGGAGGCTGCATTCCAGCCAGATACCAGTTTGGTTTCTATAATGACTGTGAATAATGAAATAGGAGTAAAGCAGCCAATTCATGACATTGGTAAGTACACCCTGGCTTCCAGAGGCTGGCTAATGTCACTTCTGCTTCATTTTACTTAATATTTTCATAGCCAAGTGCTACTGAATTAAAAGATTACACGTAGTATAGTTAAGGAATAAATAATAATGCTGTTCCAAATAAAAACATATATTAAAAGGGAAATGAGAATGAAATTCATTACTTTTACAGTGAGTATTGCAGCAATTATAGCCTTGTAGTATAAATCAGCTGCAGTGTTTCTATTTTTATACTGAACTGTGTGATGGATGAACAAGTTGCACAGAATAACTGACCAAATTGAGTTTACATACTCTAATGGTTTACTGAGTGCTTGTAGTGTTTAAGAGGAGAAATGTGCAGAACTGGGGTGAGAGGGGATGGTGAGCACTGCACTTAGACACCCCTTCCCCCCAATATTGCCATATACAGTCATGAACAATTGGTTTGGAGGTCAAAAGGCTGCTGAAGGATCAGGTTTCTGGAACAGGAGGTGGGGAGAGGGTGAGCCAGGCTCTGGGCAGGCAGATGGAGAGACACGGACCTCAAAGCAGCCTGGTAAAGCAGGTGAAGGGAGGGCTGGAGAACTAGGGTTGTGGGAGCAGTCAGGGTCAGCGGGTGGCCCACAGATGTAGCTCCCAGGATCCCACAGTGATTCCCTCTCAATGTTTCCCATGGCAGTGACAAAACACACACTCCCCTTCATATCCAAGAAGTCCTTTCATAACGTGTTTGATTTTTTTTAGGCAGTTTTTAGGCTTTGGCCTCTGCCCTGGGGTTTATACTGCATGGTTCTAGAGGGTGTTGTTTTCACAGGCTATGGCAGGCATCTTACCCTGTTGTGCAGCTGCTGCATTTTTTTCTTTATTATGCTCAAAGCAGCATTTTCCCCAAGGCTCTTCAAGGTTATATTTCTTCACTGAGAAGTAATTGACCATCAGTGAGTTGCTTATAGGCCTGAGGACTCTTATTTTCCTCCTCTGCTTATGTTGTCGAGGATGTTACTGTGGTCTCATGCTTAAATGCCAGAGATACCTGGGACCAAGCTCTGGTTCCTGCAGTAAGTTCTCATAAAACCTTGATAACAGGTCTAATGGGCCAGGACTGGGCTCTTGCGGAGTTAACCTAAGCCTCTGTTAGCATGAGGCCTATGGCCTGATATTAGCAGTAGCAATGCTGGTCTTGCTGGACTGCGGGAGGACAACTTCTGTTGTGGTGGGTTGACCTTGGCAGGATGCTAGGTGCAACCAAGCTGCTCTATCACTCCCCTCCTCAGCAGAACAGGGGGCAGAAATTAGGATGGAAAAAACCCCACATGGGTCAAGAAAAGGACAGGGACATCACTCACTAATTGCTGTCATGGGCAAAACAGACTCGACTCGGGGAAAAATTAATTTAATTTATTACCAATGAAATTAATGAGAACTAAAACCAAATCCTAAAACCCCTTCCCCATACCCCTCCTTTCTTCTTGGCTCAATTTCATTCCCAAATTCTCTCCCTCCTCCCCGCAAGTGGTGCAGGGGGACGGGGAATGGGTCAGTCCATCACACGTCTCTGCTGTTCCGTCCTCCTCGAGGGGAGGACCCCTCATACTCTTCCCCTGCTCCAGTGTGGGGCCATTCGCATGGGAGAAGTACCACGGACTTCTTCAATGTGAGTCCTTACCATGGGCTGCAGTTCTTCACCAGCTGCTCCA